CTTTGGTTGTTTTAAAATTGATACCTGTTGAATTTTGTTGTTTCTTAGCCTTTTCTTTGCATAGAAGTTTCAGTGTAGAAATTTGATTAAGTTTTGATTTGGATCTGTCAGTTTGAATTCAAAATTATTTTCATGTGCTTGCCTCTTACAATAGTCTCATTCTTTTCCTGCCTCTTTTTCCCCATCCAGTTTCTTCTTCCTTGTTTTCTTTGGTAGTTGAATGCACGTTGCATGAAGAGTGTTTTTTATTCACAATGTTATGTAGCATACCTTGATACACTGAACATTTTTAAGCAAATGGAGAAGGGCAAGAGACTCTGTGAGGAATGTGTGCTAGGTCAAGGAATAATGCTTTAAATAGGTCTCTGGAAAAGCTGTTTAAAGCATTTGGGGAGTTTATTTTCAGTAGCTAGTACTTCAGCTCACAGTTCTTCCGTTTTAAAAGATATTGCTACCGTAGAAGCATCTGCTGCCTTGCAGCACGCTGCCCGACACGAGAACAAGCTTTCTTTGTTTAAAGCTGCAAATTTTGTCACATTATCTTGAAAGTCTCTCAGGGGCTTTAATCAGAGCTTTTGATCGTGCCTGCAGAACGGAAAAGGGCTCCGACTTCCCTGTAACAAAGTACCATTGATCAAGGGTACAAAGTGCTGTGGTCTGTATGTGCTGGGACAGGAGTGTGTGTTTTGATGAATTAGTTATGTGAAGATGACTTCCTTAGGAATGAGAAAAGGAGGTGACTTTGTGCAACAGGTTTAGTTTTCTTTCAGGTATGTATTGGTTCAGCTTTTGGCATTGGCTCAGTTGTAGAGATTTTCAATTTGAAGGCTGTTTTGCCCAATAGGCCTTTTTTCCCCCCTTTCCCTAGCATGTGCTCAGTTGGGCTCTTGGCAGGATGGTTTTCTGCTTTGAGGCTGATTTGAGGGTGCCATGATGGGTCGGATAGAGCTGGGATCCTGCAAGTCCCGGTTTCCAAGGGGCCCTCTCGAGTCCTGCGGCACCTCTGGCCCCGAGGAAGCGGAGTCCGTGTCAGAGCAGGCCCTGGGGGATGCCCCTCATGGAGAGCACAGAGACTTGGTCTGTTCTGTGGGTTTGCAGAGAAGGCAGAGTGTGGGGAAAGGGGTGTTTAGTGGGGTCACAAATGAGGGAAGATTGAGGGGCTTTTTAAAAATCAATTAAACATATTTGCCTCCCTCTTGCACAGAACAAGACATGCTCACAAATCAGCACTGTCTGCACGCAGGCGCTCCGCTCTCCTGCAAGCTTGGAGCTACATACAGTGACTGCACATTCAGAAAGCTGCCACGTGCCCCTTTGTCACACAAGTGTTAGCAATGCACATTTTTGTTTCTTTTAGTGTTTTCCGTTTATAGTTTTTTACACATCTGCATTTTTTGATAGAAACAAAGAAGCAACTGCTTATGTTGTGGAGGGGCTAAAAGCAGAGCATTGTTCTCTCCTGACATTATTTAATTTTGGAGAGCGCTGAGATGACACATGTTTACAGCAGAGTTCCCAGAGCAGACAGCTGTGCTGCGTGTGCTCCGTGGATGCTCTGCGGAGGCATGAGATGAGCTGGGGAAACACATGTGTGCGGTGAACCCCCCAGCTCATACGCTGCCCCAAGAGGATTTCAGGCTCTTGACGTTTCTTCCTGCAGAAAATGAAGTGACTGAGCTGGCCATGGGGTATCCACTGCAAATGGCTGTGTTGGATCTGCCTAAATATCCTGTGGAAAGTTTAGCAGCAGCTGAGTCCCTCCCTAGAGCATCCTTTGCAGTTTCATCACATTTGCTGTGGATTTGGCTCCAAGTGCCATCGATGTGGCAGCTCTGGATGGGAACCAGGAAGCGTCCCCACCATGGTACAAATGCACCTATGGTGCTGTTTAAAATAGTTGTCCTGTGCTCTTTCCAAATAGGTGCATTATAATACGCATCACTACTGTGATTATACAAGAAAAAAAAAGTTACTGAAAATCTATTAGTTTGGCTTTTTTTTCTTGTGGCCATAAGAAAGAGTTTGATTGTGAAACACAAGCAGCCTCACTAAGTTCCTTAAATTTACAAAGAGGCAAATGAGAATCTAACTGAGCAGGCAAGTACTGAAGGTAGGATAGGGAGTATTAAATTGCTTTTGGGAATTCAAATGGATGCAGGTAAGACACAGCAGCAGCTAATAATAAAGCAGGGTGGCAGTGCTGTGATTGCTTCAGCTACCTGAGTAACTGGCCAGCTGCGTTTTGCTCTGGCCCTGAGGTAGGACTGCCTGTGTGGTGCCTGTGGCCACCCTGGTTTCAGTGGGATGTGGAGGGGCTGCTCCCATTGCCATTCCTGAAGTCATCCCTGGAGGAGAGAGTGTGCAAACAACCCAAATCCTGGTCAGCTTCCAATGCAGGCAAGGCAAGAGGTGGCAAACGCAGGACAGAGCCTGTGTTTGCTGCGCAGGGCATCGGGCACGTGGCCAGCAAGCAGGGGTGACAGTGGCCCTGCAGCGCGGGAGCCACTCGCACCAGCCCTGCTTCTGTAGTGCAGATCTTGTCTCAGTGTCCGTCCACCCTTGACTTCAAACAGCTGTTCTGGCACTGAAAGAAAACTTTATTTAGAGAAAAAGGTTTATTACTGTTTTTCTTAAGCCCATCCCATCCTTAAATATGAATTCCTTTGAAAATGATGCAGGCTCCACTTCAAGAACTTCTGCCTAACCCTGTGTAGACTTTTTTGCAGTGTTTTTAACTTAAAATATATCTGGTTGCTCCCAGACCTGTGCGTATTCCCTTCACCTTGCACGTGCTCTGGTTACCGGTCACAGCACACTGTGGTGCTCGGAGCAGAGGCAAGAATCAGAGCCTCTGGTTTTGTGTCAAAACTTCTCTTCACTACTGGGCTTCAGTTTCTTGGGGTTAGCTCTTGGCTTGGGCTTCCCTGGGGCTTCCTTGGGATTGGTGACATTGCAGTGCTGCACGTAAGGAGAACCTGCCATGAAGGTTTTCTTAAGTGTTATTCACTAACAGATGTCAACTTTGGACTCGATGTGTGTTACTGATTCCGAAGCCAGCAAAACACCGATGTCGTATCTCAAACTCCTGACGTCTTTAAGTGCAGTTTCATCTCAAGCCCTTGGTCGCTTCCATGCAGAGCATAAAATTCTGGTGTGACGCTACTGCCAAAATAATTTGAAATAGAACAGTTGCTAAGAATAGGAAACAACTAAGAGTCCCATTTATGAATAAGTTATTCTCCAAGCCAGTAGAGATCTGGTTAGGCTCAGTGCGGGGAGAGGGTTGGATCCGAGCTCCAGGCTGCATCGCATGGACTGTGCAGATCAGAGGGCAGCAGCGCCGGGATGTCCCGAGGCTCCATCCGCCGCTCCTGTAGCGGCTGATGGTGGGAGAGCTTCAACATGGGCAGGGCTCTGGAGATGCTTGGTGTTCCTGGCATGAACTTGCTTGTGTTGTGCTGCTTGAACATGTGTTTGAACAAGAAGTGTTTGGTGTCACCTCTGCAGCTGCTGGGGTGTTAAACAGCTCCCGTTTGCTCTGGGCTGAGGCACAGGGCGGCCGCGAGGAAAGGAGGGAGCCCGGAGCCTGCCCGGCGCACTAAGGAGCAACAGCGAGTGCTGATGTGCCCTGACAGCGCCACAAAGGGCTTAATTCCACCTGCCGGATCTGCTTAGGAGCAAAAAGGCGTTTGGAGCAACAGGAACATGTCGTGTTCCTGTTCCCGCAGTGTCCGTGGTGGCTCTCGTGGGGTCATCCCCGTGCGCTGCAGTTGGATCCTCTGGGCTGGCTGCCCTCGGCCATGGCCGAGAAGCCCCTGGCAGGCTCGGGTTTGAGAATTGCTGCGTTCTCACCGACGAGCACTCTGCGTCCTGGGCCCTGCTCGGGTACGCGCTCGGAACCAACCGCGCATGGGCTCTGGTTTTGAGCCCTGACCGACTTGCACTTCTCATCCCCTTCCCTCCTGTTGCGACTCGGCATCATGTAACGGGACAGCCCATAGCTTTGTTCTGAAACCAAGCCTGGTCTCCTGCAAACATGAAGGGATTTGGGGTTTGTTTTGGTGGTTTGATCAGCAGTGTCATTTTCTACCCTTGGCTCATGACCTGCCAGCCAAGGCTGTTTATGTAACTTCAGGCTGCCAGCGATGCCCGGCTTTCGCTATGGTAGGAAGTGAAGCTAAACTGGTGTTTTTGGCTTGGCTTTGGGCCGGGTCTCCCCTGCCTGCCCCTCCGGCCCAGCCATGAGAAAATGTCCCTGCCAAGGGCCTGTCCAGGCCATAACAGGGTGATTAGCCACAAGGTGCTGGGCATGGGGAGCCGTGTGAGGCCCCACAGCAGCTGTGTCCTGCTGGGCTGCAGCCGCTGCGCTCGGCTGGGCAGGCAGTGCCTCGGCTCCTGGAACAAGGGTCATACCAGAAAACTACAGGCTCAGTGGGGCCCGGGCACCATCCTGCCTTAAATGCAACGCGGTCGGGGTGGCTGCAGAGTGGGGCACTCGGTGCTTATGTGGGAACCTGTGCGCTTGGCTAGAGAGCGTTGACACATGCTCTGAGCAAGGAGAAAATTGAATGGCAAAAGTGGAGCTATGGAGATTTTAAACAGCTAAGACATGTTTATGTGTTCTGCTTATGGATTGCAACGTTTTGCATTAGCATTGCAAGAATTAAAAATGTATTCAGCCTAATGTAAATGAAATGCTCATTTCAAAGAAACTCAGTTATGGGCTGCAGGATTGGCCTTATGTCCAACCACAAGCGGCTGGACCTGTCATTAGTTCCACAGGAAAGAAGTTACGGGTTGTATAAGGCTTTGGCATCCCTTCAAAAACAGTAGGAAGGAGCCGTGGAGATTTAACGAAGAACCTGATATTTCGTGCAAAGCTGGAACGAGAGAAGCAGTGTGCCTGCTGGTCAGAGAGGGCTGGTGTGGGGTGTCCCCTCTCCCAACAAGGGGGAGGAACATTCCTTTGAATAACTCTTGTTCTTCCCTGCATAGATTAACCCTGGCAGTAAGGCAGCCATGGCAAACCTCTGCCCAGGAGATATTATTCTGGCCATTAATGGAGAGAGCACGGAAAACATGACACATCTGGAAGCACAAAACAAGATCAAAGCCTGCATGGACCAGCTCCTCCTCTCTGTGAACAGGTAGGTAATATCACTGTTTAATGTTTTATTCTTTTATCGGTTGAGGTGCTGTGTCTGCATTGGCCCACTAAGGTCTTGGTGAGCTCTCTGCAAGACTGCTCCATGTTTTTCTCTGAATCTCTGTATTGTGGCAAGTATCCTGGCTAGGGGAGAGGAGAAAGTAATTCCTAATGGAGCAGCTCAGGTGCCACTCCTACTATGAGCACATACAGTAAAGCTAAACTTTCCTTTCCCAGGGAGAGCACGTAATGCTGCTTTGGCAATAGTGTCTGCACATCCCTCTTTAAGGGGGAAGATGTCGTAACGAGGCTGTTCAGAGCTTTTTTTTGTCATATCATATCAGCTTTGTCTGATGATTCTCCAAAAAGCTTGCAGCTGGCCCTGGGGTGAATGTGTCATTAGGTTTGGTTCTGGATGCATCCCAGTAGTCTGTGTAATTGGCTGTTCTTAAAGAAACACAGAACAAACAAAATTCTTTTTAAAGTACTGGTGGTAGAATAGCAGGTCCATTTACTGATCTGTTTGGACACTCGTTTGCACCTGGTGAGGCTAATGCTGGCTGTAGGTTGGATCGCATCCTTCAAGTCACTGGAATTCCTGTAGACTTGAGCAAGAGAAGCAATGAGATTCAAATGCTGGATGAAGTTTCCCATTCCAATAGTTTCCATCTGTCATTTTTTCTAAATAGGTCTCTTCAGTGAATATACAGTTGAAGGTGCTGCCAAATCTTCACACTCTTCTAGAATATTTGAAAGCAAAACAGAAATTTGCGTGAGCAGATTTGTTTTGCTTTCTATAGGATTTAATTCTCCAACTGAAGTTTTCTAACACAAGTCACAAATTCCTCTAATTGTTCAGTCAAAATGAGTGTTCCTTATAAGGTGCATAAATGGCTAGTGTTATGTTTTATAGGCTTAAATAAGTTTATACAATTTTCTACTTCAGATTAAAAAGGCATTTCCTGCTATAAAGGGCTGTCACTAACTGTTTATGCTTCCTTTAAAAACTACTCAATGTTCTGACCAGAAAATTAATCTAAGACCATAGCTGCACAGGGCCCTGCTCCAGAGTGGAAGGTGAACTGTCATAATTGAAGCCGAAGCCTAATCTTGTTCTTAGTGTTTCATGACATTGTCTGAAATTCCTGGCCGGAGTAGAGGCCTGCTGAGCTCAGACTGTGTTAAGTGCCTCTTTCTTTAGAAGGGGAAAGAACACCACCATGAAAACCCTTCTAATGGTTTCATGTAGCGGAGCAGGAGGTAGGCTCTGCTTTCCACTACCTTTTAGGGAGGCTGAATCATTTTTACCACAAATGCAGCTTTTGGAGTCGGACCCAAGGTTGCATCACTGACTAACACTCTATTTCAGTGGTGCTAGTGCTGAACAAAACTGTATCCCAACAGCTCCTGAACAAGCCTGGTGGAGTCAGAAACCAGCTTTGCCTCTGTCTGGAGCAGAATGTGCCAGATATGACTAAAGATTATAATAATTTTAAAAATAAAGATTTTCTACAGAGATTTTTTTTATCTATGACCTGAAGGCTTTTTTATTCATCACTAACCCCACTTGATGGCTGCAAAAGATGATGGGGAGGAGATCTTGCCCAAGGTCACTCAGCAGATCAGGGTCAGGGTTAGGAAATAATCCACTAAATCACATGCAGCAGCAAGTCAGTCAGACAGCTCGAGATGTTATCGTGCACAGCTGTCTGCCCGAGCTGTCCCAAGATAGCAACTCCCATCAAACAAAATAACTTAGTGGTTTCTGAACTTTATTTGCTCTGGCGTGTTAATGTAAAGCGATTGTTTTTATTGCATTTTAATGTGCTGTGTTGAAACTTCAGTGCTTCAGGAGCAGTTTTAAATGCTATTTAGCCCAACTTGTCTAGTGTTCAGCTGTGTCTATAGAAATAGGTAGGTGGTTCTCCCCCTACCCCATGTTCCTTTTTTTTTGCATGTGTCAGAGCCTCGTGTCCCAGTTCAGAGTTCTGTCCTCGTGGCACAGTAAATGCAGGCAAGATTACCTGATGGTTTCACCTAACTGTGTGGTCAAATACTCATCCTCATACTGAAAAACAGCAGCGGGAAGCACGTGGGATGCACGCAGCTTTCTTGCACAGTTTTCTGCAGGCGTTGATCTTATCTTATTCAAAAAAAAAATAGTGGTGTTAGAACATTGCTGACAGGAGCTATGATGAAGGCATAGCGAGGCCTTGTGGCTTCAGGTTGAATTTGTCCATATCTACCTGTGAAGATGAATATTTTGAACTTTGGGATTATCAGTGTGCACAGAGGAGTGATGCAGATTTGTGAGTGCAGATTTGGGGGGATGTAGGGTTAGGGGATGAGGCTGGGTGGGTTTTTCTAAGCAGGAAAGCAAACAAGATTGTACTGATCTTGTCAGGCTTTGGTGCATTGTGAAGGCTTCAAATGCTCTGGTAGCTTCAAATCGGGGAAAACAAATCCTCAGGTGTCTGCAAGACACAGAAACAGCATTTGAGGAGCTCCTTTGCACATGGTAGTTCAGTTCAGGAACAGGATCTTGCAGCTGGTTCTGCAGCGAGCACGTAAGTCCAGGCAGTGTCCTGAGAGCAGGTTGTGAGCCCAAAGCGCAGCCTTTCCCTCCTGGGAAAGCTTGAGTCGCTCGTTTTTTCTTTTGCAGTAACAAAAGCAAATCCACTGACACTTTATTAGATCTATTTTCAGTTTGGCCCAAAGCGGGTGTTTGGTGACACAGTTCTTGGACTTCTCCCCTTGTTCCCGAATGACCTGCTGAATTCCAGATGATTCTGCCCAGCCATTAATTGTTGCTGCGAGCATGTCCAGGGCCACCTCCTGCGGGAAGGGAATCACCCCTTAGGATCTGCTTTTCGAGGAATGGAGCGAGCTCCCGACAGCGAGGGTGGTGGCCACACTGTGCAGAGGTTATTTGGGCGTTCTGTGTCCACATCCAGCAATTGCAGCTGCTGGTGGCTGCTGCTCTCAATGCTCAAAAACCCTCCTCTGTGCGGGGTGACGGCTGCTTGTGTGTCAGCCCCATGGCCCCTTTCCAGCGCTGTCCTTGATGTGTGCCTTTCTTCATAAAACATATTTTGCAGCTCAACAAGGGGGCCTTATTTAAAAATAAGTGTGGCTAGTCAGTGAAATCTGTTTGAAATAATGGCCTTATTTGTTGTATGCCTTCGCAGAAGGCTAGTGAGATCTGTGAATTCCGTCCTGCCCAGCAAGGCTGCGCGGAGCCCCGAGTGCCGCTGGGCAGCGCCTTGTTTCCCTTCGGGTTTTTCCATGCTCTATCCTTTCCAACGACCCCTTGACATTCTGTGTTACTGAGACGCGCAACAAGATTGTTTTTGTTTTCTAGCTGTATTCATTAAATGCCCTTTGACTAGAAAGTTCAGTAGGAAAATCCGAGTGGGTGAATAACATAGAAGGAAGGAACAGAAAGGGAGAATTACTGGGCTGTCCAAAAGGGGCCGGTTAACAGACCTCGGTATCCTTATGTGAACTGTCTGGGTTTTTTGGAGATGCTCATCAACCAAATCAATCCCCTTGAATTCAATGGAAGGAGATATTGATTACCCAGTGCATCAGATCAATCCATGTAAAATACGTGGATGCACCGGTGGGAGAACAAAAGAGCCAGGATAACTGGTCATTTCTTCCTAGGAAAGAAAACGAGTGTTTCAGACCCTCCTGTGCGGCAGGGACAGCTTCTCTCCTCCCTGCCTAGGAGGAAATAGCTCAAGGGAGGTTTCCGCAGGCCCATGTGCTGCGGGCAGAGCCGGTGCAGCAGGTTCCATACGGGATTTTGTCTCCTACCAGCCGAGCGGCAGGGCCCGGTTTAAAAAAAGCAGAAAGAGTGTGGGACTGTCTGATCAAATACAAACACCTGATTTCCAAGCAGCGTAAGGGAAGCCAAGGGCATCGGGCAGCTGTTGGAGCCCATTGGACATGGTTTCTGTGGGGAAGCTGCATTGTGTTTTGGAAGGAGTTGGTTGCTGTGGGATCCGTGGCAGCCTGAGCCCTGGAGAAACTAAGTTATGAGGCAGCAGAAAAAGCCAAGGTGCAAACAGCAAAGCTGTGTTGGCAGAAGAGAATTGCATTTTTTCCTAGCGTATTTGGAGTAGTTGCACAAAAATTCCAGCACGCACCTCTTGGGAAATAGGAGGAACATTTGTGTCTCCTTGGAGCGCTCCTGTTTTTCTGGACTCGTTGTGAAATCAACGTCACTGTCATAACCAGCAAGCCATGTCGAATTTGCCATAGCAGTCTCTAAAGGATGCTCGGATTGCCTGAATTATGCCCCAAAATATCAACTGATTAACTGCCTCCTGGTCACCCCCTCCTGGCCTTCCACATACTTTTTGTGCAGATGAAGGAAGCTGTGTCTGCAGGGCACTGGTGGCAAAACAGACTCAAAATGGTTGTCACCTTAGATAGAAAAGCTGCTTTGTTTTGTAACAGTATCGAGGGATTAGCAATAAAATAATTGCGGGCTTCATAACTTGAGCCTGGATTCTTTGGGATGACATACTACCCCTTGAGCAAGTACTTGCACATTAAAACCAATCTCTTCCTTCTGATCAACCCTTCCTCCTGCTGGAAGGAGCTGGCACTCAGGCTAATGCCTGCGATGTGCTCGGGACCAAGGACAGCCGGAATAAGAACAGGGCCAGCCCTGTGGTTATGTATTACCGTGCACCTTCACAAAAGCAAGTCTTCCCAGTTCCTTCATCTCTCTGTGGCTATGCTGCAGCCCTGGTTATTAGAGAAGACTTGTTACTTCAAATGTGGTCATGCCTCAAAAAAAGCAACTGTAAAATTAGATCAGAGCTGTACTTTACTGAAAACTTGGCTCAAGAGGAGCGTTGAGCGCAGGGGGGAC